CGAGTTCAAAGCTTCAGCAACTCCCAGGACTACACATTGAGGCACCATCCATAGAGCTGACATGTTAATGACAGCATTGGGTTGGTCTTCAAAGCCTTGTTCTATGGCAACTCGACGCCTTATACATGCAACGCCTGCTGAAATTGCCATTGCGAAGCACGAGAGAAGCAGACCGATTCCAATTCTTAATTTGGGACTGAGTCCACCAGCATGGCCATGTCTTGCAAGTAAAGGCACAAGTATTCTGTCATAGAACATGATCCATGAAAATAAAGAAAGGACCATGAAAATGGTGATGGATCCTGCAGGGATTTCGAAACTACGGGTTATGTGTCTGTTCATCGTCTTGGCTTGGATTGTTCCGAATGAATTTTGGTTTAAGCAGACAAGCATGAGAATGCCTGTTGACCACATTGGGATGATTCGCAGAAAAGCTTTGAGCGACTCAACTTGATCCACAGAACATAGGTTCCATGGATTGGACACTGAGCCATCTGGGTTTAAATTGTTCTTAGCGTCTTTTATAAGACAGGCCTTATTCAGATACCTACACGAGGGAGAAAACTAAAAATTGTCAAGTATCAAAGGGTATATGGAATGAAGCAACAGTCATCAATCAAGAGTGCTTAATGTTTTAGTGTTTGTTTTAAAAACTGTTGTAAAAGTTAATATTACAGTGCATTTGAGACACTATTCACAAACCTAAGATTTTTTTTAACGAAAAAACAAACTATAACAGCCCAAATCTACCGCTAGAAGATATTGTCGTCTTTAGACTTTCCTTTTCGGGGTTTCCCTCAAGGTTTTAAAACGCACTTACTAAGGAGAGATTTCCACACCCTTATAAGAAATGTTTTGTTCCCCTCTCTAACCGACGTGGGATCTCACAATCCGCCCTCTTGAGAGCCCAGCGTCCTCACTAGCACACCACCCAGTGTCTGGCTCTGATACCATTTGTAACAGCCTAAACCCACCACTAGCAGATATTGTCCTTTTTAGACTTTTCCTTTCGAGCTTCCCCTCAAGGTTTTAAAATGCGTCTACTAGGGAGAAGTTTCCACACCCTTATTAGAAATGTTTCGTTCCCCTCTCTAACCGACGTGGGATCTCACAATCTACCCTCTTGAGAGCCCAGCGTCCTCGCTAGCACAACGACCGGTGTTTGGCTCTGATACCATTTGTAACAGCCTAAACCCACCCCTAGCAAATATTGTCCTCTTTAGGGTTTCCCTTTCGGTTTCCCCTCAAGGTTTAAAACGTGTCTACTAGAGAGACCACACTCTTATAAGGAATGTTTCGTTCTCCTCTACAACCGATGTGGGATCTCACACAAACTCTGGGTTATTTTAAGAAACAAGTCATCTATGAATATGATTCAATGCTTAACAAAGTAATAATTCATTGAAAATGACAAAGTATAAAACGGGCATCCCAATTCCAAGGCAATGCATTATACACCAGGACATAATTCTGAGCAGAAGAGTAATATGGATATTCATAAGATCATAATAACAGTGATAAGCATCATCCCGACTTACGTACCTCATAGAATTGGTCGGAATGCGACATTTCGGATCACGACCAAGGTAATACTGATCAAAGTTACTAAAAGGAAGCGACAATTTTCGGTTCTTAAATGCCACCACAATTACTCGTAAAAACCCGGTCAACAAACTCTGTGTTGGCTTCACTTTCACGTACAGAGAAGAACCCACTAGGAATATTAGCACAGAAAAAAGCATGAGAACGGCAGGAACAGCAAATCCAATTCCCCATCCAAATTTATCTTGAATGAACACAATTAGAGATAATGCAATAATCGTAGCTATTCCAATCGATGCATAATACCAATTGAAGTAGGAATCCAAGACACTTTCGTTGTTGGGCTTTTCCTCCTTGGTGAGTTGGTCTGCACCAAAGGCTACAGAACATGGCCTAATGCAACCAGCTCCAATGGATATGAACACCAACGAAGAGAACAGTACAGCGAGCTGGTAAGGATTAGCAGAGTCGCATAATATTCCAGAGGGGCTACAAGATGCAGGTCTCAGTTGTGGGATTATTGCTGTTAACCACAAAAGAATCATCCCCTGAAGAAATAAGTAAACTGTAAACACTATGATATACACCACATCAGTTGGGGAGGAGAACAGAACGAAGCATTGTTTACAATGGTATGGAAACCTCTCTCTAGCAGACGCGTTTTAAAAACCTTGAGCGGAAGCCCAAAAAGGACAATATCTCCTAGCGGCGAGCTTTAGTTGTTACAAATGGTATCAAAGCCAAAGACTGGGCGATGTGCCAGCGAGGAGGCTGAGCCTTGGAGGGGGGTGGACACGAGGCGGTGCGCCAACAAGGATGCCAAGCCCCAAAGGGAGGTGGATTGGGGGATTCTACATTGATTGGAGAAAGGCTTTAGCTCTTATAGATCAATGACACAAGCAAAATCAATGACACAATCAAGGGGATTAAGGCCCTGAGAATCGTTACTATTCATTAGGGTTTCTCTTCAATAAGGCATCATTCAGTATATTACCAAAGGATTCGATTCTATAACATTACCACACGACAGACTACAACATCAATGGAATTGGAAACAGTTAATTTTCGATAATCAACGAGTCTTACAAGAAGGCTACTGCAGGATCCGAGAATTATAACACAGAAACGCCCCAAGTAAGAATCAGCAAGAACAGCGCCAACAATGGCTAAAGCATTGGAAGCAGCAGACCACAGAGACAGAATGATAGAAGCAGCGGCGATTTCGAATCCGAAAACGTCCCTTAAGTAGAACACCATGTTAGGAGTTAGCCCCAAACTTGCAACCCTCTCAAATGTCTCATTAACTGCCGCAAACAGAAGTAATCCAAAACCAAGGACACAGAGAGTTCGTCACAAATTACAAAGAACTCGATTAAATCGGCAGTTGAAAATCGAAATGAGTACCGATTATGAAGGGCATGGTTTTCAAACCACCATTTGTGTAATTTGAAGCTTGCTCGGCTTCCTCGCTGCCGCTTGCGGCGATTCCGGTCTTCTCCCCGTCTTCTAGAACCTCCATTAATTCGAACAATCTCGACGACCTTCTGTGATTCCTCGCCGGAATTTCCACAGTTACGTACCGATGATTGGGAAGCAAACCAGTCGGATTAAACTCTAAATAAATAATGCATCGTATAAAGTAATAAATAATTATCGTTGATTTCTTTTTCAGGTGACAGAGATGTTCTACCGGACGAAGCAGGCCAAACACGTTTTTCACAACTGCGATATTTTCTTGGTTTTATTTATTTATTTTATTATTTCTTTTATGAGTAATTTATTTGCTTTTAACTTGTATCCTTTTGTTCAAACTCGGCAAAGTATAAATATATATATATATATATATATATATATATATATATATTAAATTAATAAAAATACTATTAAAAATATTTTTTAATTTGGGAGGAAAATACTTAATACTTTATTTTTAAAAAAATACTCTACCACCTTTATAAAATTTTATTATTATACTTAATTTTATTTAAAAGTTTAAAAAGTTCAAAAATACTTCTGTCAATAAACCTTTATTAAACAAAATATAAAAGTTCTTACTAATCCTTACCTGAAATTTTGAAAGCTTAAAAGCTTAACCGTATTTTTTTTTAGTTCAAAGTATTTTACTGAAGATTTTCACTCAAAAAAATATTTTTAATTTTTGTTTTTTCAAATTTAAGAATATTTTTAGGTTAGTATATTTTAAATCTGGATATATATATATATATATTTCTGTTTTTTAATCATTTTAATGTGTAGAATGCGGGTAGTAAGAATCATGTATGGTCAAACGACTCGTCCACAAAACTCTTTGACAGTCTTGAAGTAGCACACAACGCAACGATTAAGAATACTCATGGCCCTTAATTGAGGACACAATGAATTTGGTAGACTAATTAATAGACATGCCTCATGACTTTTCTCTTGGATTTTCTACTCGTATGTAAGAGTCGCTCTCCATCAAAAATACTAAACTCCCTGGGACCTAAAGTAACACATAGCCCAACAATCAAAAATAGCCTAATGGTCAGAAATACTCATAGTCTCTAACTTAGCACACAGCGGAGACTCATATACATCCCATGCTAGAATCAACTCATAAACATAGCAATAAACATAGCAACAAACATACGATTCCAGGTATATCTAATATACTTCAAATCTAAAGTGACAAAATCTAAAGTGACATAAAACTATACCGATGGAACCCCGGATTTTGTTGGTCTAAGAAAAAAAAAAAAAAAAAAAAA